GATTGCCACGGGTTGGGTTAACCCCAGCTATTCCATATTGCTGGGGTTTACGATACTGGTGCTTGATGTTCCCAAAGTTATCATCTCGGGGCACTCCGCGTATAAATGAAGCAGGCATTTGTTGCACGTTAGCAACAGACTGACGCTGTCTTCCGCGACCATTAAAGCTTCGTGGAATAGAGGAGACATTGTTTCCTACTTCTGGATTGGGGACGACGCCCACTCCTGGAACGAATGGAGCAGCATACGGATTGAAATGCGTGTCGCTAGGCATAGGCTGGAAAGGGATGCCTGGAACATGAATCATTTGAAACTATCAAAAAAGAACAAGGGGCATACCTCGACTAGATTGACGAAAAGGCATACGAGGAACACCTCTGCCGTGACCGCCATTAAAACGTTGGGGCTGATCGAAAACATTTTCAGGTCTTGTTTGAGGCACTAAAGAAAAGCGAGATCGCTGTATCATGGAAAATTGAGATGACAAAAAGTTTAACATTCAAGTCTAAGGGAAAAAAAAGAATGAAATGATAAAATGACTTAACTTCGCTATCATTTTTGTTATTTTTAGAGGAAGTTTCAAAAAAACAAATCATATTTGAGAAAACTTTCAAAACCTCGATTAAAAAGGGGCAGATTGGCCCGCCCCAAACCTTCCCACTTCTGCCTACTTCTCTCCTGTGATTTTTGAGAACACTATTGCCGTTCACCTACGTTTCACGAAATCCCGCTTTCGAGCGGTATAGATGATCAAGCTTTTCATGTAAATTTAGACTTTTCCTGTATAAAAATGGTCTCATCATTTAATAACGGCTCAATGACACAAAAAGATTTTATTTAAAAGACTGACATAAACTGAAAAAAAGAAAAAGAGATGGGAAACTGGTCAAAAAACGAAACTTACAGAGACCACCAAGACCTGGATCGCCATTACTTTCATCAACATGACCCCGTTGCGGTCGATACCTGCGACTGAAACCATAAAAATGTTTTCCAATTCCACTCCAG